CACTTCTCTCTAAATTTTTTTCGAATATTCTAAAAGAAAAAAAACATTAAAGGTAGAGAGCCCGTGAGAACTTGGACTCAAGAACGTTCCGATGTAACAGATTGCGCGTCATAACGATTTGAAAATACAATTAGTAACGTTTCACAAATAATAAATCAAACAACAGTGAATACGACAACGACCAACGTGACTGACTGGTGGTATCCACTAGCTCTCACACTCAATGATATACACCATGGATATTTAGCTGACGTAACTTCGGTATCCTCACTATCGTTAATACAGCTTATAGTCACATTACTAGAAACGATAGTTAATATAACAGAAATTATTAATCGGACGACAATCATAGTGCTAATTCCGCTGGAACTCGAAAATCTTACCACAGTTCGGTCAACAGTTATGACGTCTTCCGAGATATCTGAAACATCCGAGGAAGAACAATCGACCACTGCTCAAGTGATCGAGACAACCTCCAGATCATTGATACATGCTACAACAGAGGTTGATCAGGCCACCACAGCATTTTCATCAATAACATCAGAAAGTCTGTTCAATTTAACAGGCGTATTTGGAGACACTACAGCAGGACCATTGACTATGAATGCAGAATTAATTTCTTCGGCATCACTCGAGATAATCCCAACAGCACTGTCACCAATCATCGATGATGGTTTGTTATACTCTTCAGCAACACAACAGGAAATGTCAGTCGCACCCGAAACGTTTGAAATGATTTCTCTATCGAGCACATCAGCATATTTATTAACTTCTTCACGGGTTTCCGAACAATCATCGGCTTCAGTAAGATCCTTAGCATCTCTGTTAGATGAAGAAACTACGTCATAATTGGCTATGGCATTTGCTGTTTTGAGAGCAGTGCCTGTACGTCAGATTTATGCAGCCGGCACAAGACTGACATAAGTCACGAAGAAATGCCCCTATGGGTGTATCAAACAAGTCCGGCTTATCTTTTCTTATCGTTTTAAAATAAACATCTTTTGCTTACTTATCAAAGTGGCAATACCAAACAGTAATGATATAATTAAAAATACTTTAAATATAATGTCTTTAATTCGTCTAAGCTTTTCAAAACATTTCATTCTGATTAAAAAAATAAAGTTCCAAAAAAACAAGTGGCTATATTACAAACTGTACACCAGACGAAAACAAGTCTTTTTATCTAGTTATATTTCTTTTATTGTAACAAAATACACTATCAATTTAAACCGTTAATCTTTAACGAATTATTTACTATTGTTATTTTTTAAGGTTTTGGGGGGGGGTTGGGGTTTTTTTGGGGGGGGGGGGGGGGGGGGGGGGGGGGGGGGGGGGGGGGGGGGGTGGGGGGGGGGGGGGGGGGGGGGGGGGGGGGGG